TATATATATATATATATAAAATTAATGATTGTGCATTAAGTACCGAACTCTCATTTGCCTAATTTCCTACATTATTTTATTAAATTGAGCTTATTGTTGTTCGTCTTTAAATTTGAGTAGTATTAAGAAGAATTGGTAAATTCTTTTGATAAACCAATTATTTATTTACAGTTTGAGAAAACTGCAGATCATCTATTTGATGCAGCTTATTATGGACAAAAAGACATTATAAGTGGCGTATCGGAATCAATTATAATGGGTATTCCAGTTCCTCTAGGCACAGGAATATTCAAGCTACTTCAAAAATATCCTTTTCATTACTTTATATATCAAACGTTAACTGTCTATTTGTCATAAAAAAAAATAGATGACACACGTAACTAAATATACACATCTACATCCGCACGTGCACATATGGCACAGAGTTATTTTCCTTAATAATTAAATACGGCAGACAAAGACGAACCATGCAAAAAGGATCTTTTATTTGACGATCCACAATTTCACAAACCATTGCATTCTGAAGGACGACTTCCACGAATACAACCGCGTCCACTATTGCAAAACTAATATTAATAAAATATTTTACATTTACTGACAAAAAGAAATAGAATTTACTTTGATAAAAAAAAAAGATATCCTTTCATTTTATTAATTCTTATGATCATGTCACTTATACATAAAATATTTAATTTATATTTGATTGTATAAATACATATATAAGGATATTTTGTACTTTTATAAAGTGACTTTGTATCTACAATATGAATATTTTGAATAGATCATGGAATAAATATCATGTTTTCTTATATCCATGACGTAAGTATGTCTACTTACATCATATCTTATATCATGAAATGGATGTCAATAGAAATTTTGTTGCTAGGAGACAATATTGTTTGATCTGAATCCGTTTCTTATAATCCTACCTACATCTTCACGCGCATATAATTTCATATGTACAACATTTGAATAAAATGTTCCAACGTATAATTTGAACTTAGGATTGAAAGAAAGACCAGGTATCAGGATGGTGAATGAAAAAGAATTTTGGACGGAAGTTCGGAAAGATATACCGCGATACAAAAAGAAAAAGCCACGAGTAGTTCCTGCCTTCACTATTCAGGCGTTGCAGGTAATACGTTGTTAAGAGCCATTTCCAACCAACTCCGATTAACTTGATTTATTTTATTAAGAAATACGAATAAAATTATCCAATTAATTAATAGAATTATATTAATATATCGAAAAAATATTAAGAACAATGAACTGTGTGTATATTAGAGATATTATTTTAAGTAATTTAAGTGATTCTGCCGATCAAGTTATAATTGGACCTAAGAAAATAATGATATTGAAATACAGGATGGAATTTTCATTATGATCGAGATAAATATAGTGCACGGTAATATCGTACATGTAATAAATCAATTTTTGATCACAGGAAAACACGATCGTCGCGAAACCACCGCGATGTAGACTGTATAAACCTCGGCTACCGAAACCATCGACTTTCAGGAAGTTTTATAAGCGCGGTGTATTCCCTATCTCTTTGGAGAACAACGGTTATGATCAGAAAATTAATTGGAAAGTGGATATAGAAGATTTAGATTTCCATCATTATTTGCCAATGTTCTTCGATGGATTAACGGAAACGGAACAACCATATAAATTTCTGGTAGAGCAAGGAATATCAGATATGCTAGAACATGGTGGACCAAAGATATTGCCCGTTGTTCCTCAATTGATTATTCCTATTAAAAGTAAGTTCTATAATCCAATTTAATGTAGAAAAAATATACTGTAATTAAAAAACTTTGTTAGACGCTTTGAATACAAGAATGCCCGAGATAATTTGCACCACGATGAAAGCGATTCAACGTTTAGTGCAATCAGCCGATTGCGTTGGTGAAGCTTTAGTTCCGTATTTTAGGCAAATCTTGCCTATTCCAAATTTACTCAAAGATAGAAATGGTAACTTACTCGTATTTTAATATTTCCTATATTCGTATACAATTGAAAATAAAATATATAATTTCAGTAAACCTTGGCGAAGGTATCGATTATTCTCAGCAAAGAGGAGAGAACGCTGCTGACATTATACAAGAGACACTTGAAATCTTGGAAAGATATGGTGGCGAAGATGCTTTCATAAATATTAAATACATGGTTCCCACCTACGAATCCTGTATGATGAATTAATAGAGGCAGAAAAAAAATTACATTGTAATCCTTTTAATAGATTTATTTATTTATGAAAATGTAATTATTACAAAATCAAAATACTTGCAAAATTTAATGTAGCAAATTATACATAACGTAAAGATATAATATAGTAAAAAAGATGTATCGACACATGATATATTAAAAACAAAATTTTTGAAAATAATATATTATATATATAACCATAGATCTTGTACACATCCGCCTTTCCCGTTAGACAGAAACAGATAGCATGCATTTTATCTCGACATGAAAAAAGCGTATCAGAGTACAGAGCTTTGCATATAACGTATAACATATAATACATAAGAAAATGAACCAATCAAAGTCCTTCATTTCCGTCCTTCATTTCCTTTCCATGATAAAATAAAAGATTCCGATTGGTTGATTTTCTTACACTTTATGCTTTTACAAAAGTCTATATTCAGGTCTTAACAGTAGTAAAAATAGTAGTACAGTATTTTGATGATTGTATTGCAATATATATTTACATCTTTCTTGTATCTTCTTTTAATGTTACAATACGATTAAAAACAAGCTGAAATAAAAGAGAATATTAATGCAATGTACATGTATGTATATTAATGCTTTTATACTTACCTTATTAGGTTTAGTATCAGGATCAACAGAGAAAAAGCCTATACGTTCAAATTGAAATTTATCATACACTTTTGCTGTTTTAGCTAAACTGTTGTCCATGTACGCTACAATTTCTTTTTTGCTGAATGGATTAATATCACTCAAAAATCCATGCGGTACCTCATGTACATCTTCCGGATTTTTGTGCTTAAACCTGAGGGAGGAGGGGGGATTAAAGATATTTCACACACACAATCACATTACAGAATAAAGAAACTTTCATAATAATTAATAATTTGAAAAAAATAATACTTACAAACGCTCGTATAATCTAACAGATGCCAATACTGGGTAGGACACCCAATGTATAAATGCTTTCGGTTTATTCTTTTCTGAGACAGGATCTTGTCTAACAATTATATTCGTAATATTACCACTGGCATCCTTCTCGATACTTTCAAACGTTACTATGGTACCTGTATGCTTTAAGCCTACAGATTGCTTTGGTGTCAAGCGCCTAAAACCTTTCTCTTCAATCTATAAATATTAATGAATAAAAAAGTATTAATAAATAAAGTATTGATAAATAATTGCGAAGTGTTTAGAAAGAGATAGGGATATACATTACATACTTCTTTGAAGTCGGTAGCTTCAATATATACAATTTCATCAAATGTAATTTCATGATGTCCCCTCTCTGGCTCGTTAGGAAAATCGGGTGCAGTGAGCTTTATGGCTTTCTCTTGAGGAAAATTTTTTATAGTCAATTTGATAGGCTCTAGAACTACCATATGTCGGGGAGTAGTAAGATTTAGAACATCCCTAACAGCTGCTTCCAATGCTGCAGGATCAACGGTTGCTTGTGCACCAGTTAAACCCATTTGAGCGCAAAAATTGTTTATAGCTTCGGGTGGAAATCCACGTCTACGTAGAGCAGACAATGTAAACAATCTATAAAAAAAAAGATGATGAGAGATTAGTAAGACATTATTAGATAATCTTATAAAGGTAATATTACATTATACCTGGGATCATCCCAATCAGACACTATTCCTTCTTGTATTAATTTGGCAATTTTTCTTTTGGAAACTACAGTATAATTGACGTTCAATCGGCCATATTCCCATTGTACAGGACAATAAATGTTCAAGGAATTGCAAAGCCAATAATAAGACGATCTCCGCGATTGAAATTCTTTTGTACAGAGAGAATGAGTGATATTTTCAATGCTATCGCACAAGCAATGGGTGTAATCGTATGTGGGATAGATACACCATTTGTCACCAGTTCGATGATGCGGCGAATATTTTATTCTATATGCCACAGGATCTTGTTTACCTTCCTCTAAAGTCACTTTCATGCGTAAGGTCGCTTCTCCTTCTTCCAACAAACCATCCTTCATATCCTATTTTTTAACAAGTAAAATAGACAAATGCATAATAAAAATTGTAAATGCAGTAATAAAAATTAAAGGGAATAATATGTTCAGAAAAAATTTTCATTACATTGAATAATTGTAAGTTCTCCTCGACTGGTCTATCACGCCAAGGACTCGGTGGAGGATTGAAACCTTTCATTTCTTCACTGGATTGATGACAAACGTAAGCTAAGTCTTTCTTTATAAGTTCTATGGCCCAGTCATACAGTTGCTGGAAGTAATCCGATGAATGTGTAATCGCAGCTGGTTTATAACCGAGCCATTCCACCATCTCCCGTATACCGACAAAAAATTTCTCCTCTTCTTTTTCAGGATTTGTATCATCGTATCGTAAATAGCATATGCCCCCATAAGCAGCAGCATATCTATAAAAGAGTAATCTTTTTTACTATATATATTTAACTTTTAAAATCAAAGAATATACATACCCGAAATTGATATTGATAGCTTTTGCGTGTCCAATATGCAAAATTCCATTGGGTTCTGGTGGGAATCTTGTTATCACTTTGCCACTAGTTGCTTTCAAATGTTTTTGCAGCAAATAATGTGTATTTGGTGTTACAATATATCCATCGGTTTTATAATTTTCTCCAGGTTTATGAAATTGAGTTTTAGTCTTCACGAGTTCGTTTATAGTTTGGGCGCCTCCCTTCTCACTATTCAGTAACTCCTGTTCTGAAAATTAAAAATTAAATCCTTCGTATATCTTTCATAATTGTGCTCATATTGGCATTTAGCTTAATAGACAATTTATTAATCTATCGTTGAACATAGATACCTAAAATATTTTTAAAAAGTGGTATATAGCTCACCTTCCTTTGCATCTTCCAGCTTTTTCGCTTTCGTCTGTTTGTCCTTTGGTTTTACTTGTTTAGGTATTGGTGCAAGATCAGCATCAACTTTTGGACCCAATAGATCAAGAAATTGGACATCAAATTCATTCTTTATCGCTTTACCATCTGCCCATTTCAAAATATTACGTACTTGCTGCATCAATGGCCCAGAATTAAAGCGGTATCTATTCAAATAACAAATAAATTATAATTATTATACTATAAAATAACTTATAATTACAAATAAATTATAATTACTATAAAATGACTTATTGTAAAGTTTCCTATATTTTGCATACTCAAGATAAAATTTTATTTACCTCTTTTCCAATATTGCATTTTTGTGTGCTTTTATAATTTTCTCGACTTCTTCTTCTATTTGTTCAGGTAAAACTACTATTCCTATACCACAAAATTCTTCAAACTTAGCTATATCAACAGCATTACCCACATTAGCCAATAGATGAGCCATTGCAGCATCAATCCTCTGTACACTATCTAATTTCTTCTCGACTATATAATTAGTAATAAATGGTATCTTATCTATGATCTGATTTTTAGTTTTGGAAGCTAGATGGTACAGCAATACGCCAGTATCTTGAGTAATAGCTCCATGTTTAGCTGCCTACAAGAATTAAATATAAATTCTAAATATACAAAGAAGTTAATTTTAATGATACACACCTTACCATTAAATGAATAAAAGCAAATGAACAAAATTATATAAACATATTATGTGAAATGTACAATGTAAGCTATGTATAAACAAAGAATAGTGATGCAATATTTCTAATAAATCACAGTAATACTATCAAAATATACTGATTATACATATCTTACAAGGGAATCACATAAAATAATAAATTCTGATTTTAATGAAACTTTGTATACATATAGGTTACATAAAAAAATGAATTTAAAAAATGTTGCTGGAAAAATGATTTGAAGGGGTGAAATCACCCCATATAGTAAGGAGCAGTTTCCAGTTTATTCCATTATATTTCGAAAATTATTCAAGATATAAAATGTTTTATATAAAAGCTTTACAACATGATTATCCCTATTCATTTATGTCAATAATATTTTTAATAAACAATTTTCTTTAAATAAAAAAAAATTTATTTTTTTTAAATATTAACGTGGATGAACAGAAGTAATTATATTGTAAAAGTTTTGTATAAAATATTTTTTGATACCTCGATTAGTTTTAAGATACAATAAAAAGAAGCTAAAACTCGCGTTATAAGGGATGATTTCCCTTGAAACTGTCTTTTCATCGCAACTAATATTTTCTAAATTCATCCTTTTATGTAACCTATATGTATACAAAGTTTCATTAAAATCAAAATTTAACACTTTGTGTGGTTCCCTTGTTAGAAATACTTCAAATAATTGTGATGATTATATAATTTTGAGAATAGAGTTCAGAGTATTTTGAGAAACACCTAGCTTTATATTTAATTATCCCTACAAAAATATTAATCCTACAAAATATAAATCCTAAATAAACAAATCCTAATAATAGAGAGTATTTTGATAATAAGACCTGATTTCATCAATGCACAAGATTAACTTCTTGGAATTAGAAGAAGATAAACGGTAAATTTTTCAGCTGAGATTACAGTTAATTTTATATTAGTCGAGCTGAATCTAAATAAATAAAAGATACAATTCAATAAATATAAATATTACGCAAATGTATATTATTGTATGACATATCAAAGAACAAAAGGATGATGCAACAATTCTATTGAATCGCAACATGATATATATATAATTATATTATCTTTGTTTTTGTCAATGCAGATTAACTTTAATCTCAGTTCTCAGTATAGATTAACTTTAATCTCAATTCAGCTTACTCTTCATTTTTTAAAATAATTTTTAGAACTAAAAAAAGATGAAGAATCAGTTGAACTTTTTAAAAAACTATATTAATAGAAACATTATAAATATTATAATTAATTTTGGAAATAGAAAGCTCGGTGACATTTAACATTCAATCATAACGAGATTGCCGATTCGCCGGCGAGTGTTCGCTAACCTCGTTTATAGCCAGCTTGAGATTCTTCGTGATGTTAGCATTTTTTAAAGTTTCCTTGGCCTTTTGCTCACTCAGACCAATTGTTTGAAACAGCTTCACGTCTTCCTCGTTCTCTGCCGACATTTTATTTGGAAAATACAGCTATCACAAGGCACTGCAAGTTACAACCACGGGAGACTATAGGAAACGTGC